ACGTACGTCGTCGTTCGTTTCGTTCGTACTAACGTAAACGAAACGAACGAACGAACGAAACGAAAGAAGTACGTCCGTACTACGTACGTACGTAGTAGTAGCGTCTCTCTCTCTCTCTCTCTCTCTCTCTCTCTCTCTCTCTCTCTCTCTGTGTGACTCTCTCTCTGTGTGACTCTCTGTGTGTGTGTGTGTGTGTGTGTGTGAAAAGAAGAAAAAGAAGAACATGTCATCCACGACCTCTCACACACACACAAACCCATATGCTCTCTCTCTCACTCTACATATAAGATACGAAAAAAGAAGATGACCTTTAATTGTTTTATGTGATGCCTCACACACATACGCACACACACAGATGCACATGCACACGCACATGCACACACACACGCACACGCACACACAAAAAAAAAAAAGAGAAAAGGAAAAAAAACATATGCTCCGCACCCTCGACACCTTCTAGGTATCTGGGCGGCCGCCCAGCTGCCTAGGGGGTTAGGACCCCTAGTCGTCTAGGCAATCGCTTCCGTTGTTTTGAACATTGCGTATGTTATGGCTATCACCATAAGTGTCACATTGTCCAATCAATTGATGGAAGATGGAGAGTGAGTGGGACCCACGAGAAAAGTCACATTAGCCAAGCAATAGGTCACACTTCTCTCCAATGTCATCAATTGATTATACAGTGATAACACATAAGACCATAATATTTCTATTAAATATATATAATTGCATTTCTTCCCTATATTATTTTTGTAGTGTATTGCAGATTCCTTGAACATGAGCAGTTTGGCCACCTACATAACCAACTTATATATGCATATCTATGAGTTTGTGTATATTAAATTAAGAACAACACTTCCTCTTTTTGTTCATAAGTCACTTGCAAAGTATCCAGCTTTGTATCCACCCACATCCCCAAGCTTAAAAACATTTGACAATCTTGTAAAAGACAGAATTTTTTATCAATTTTTAAAACATCATAGGTTTAAACAGGAATTGCTTAGTTTGAGCCAAAACCAGTGGGGAGCGATTCAGTACTAAGGATCCCAAGAATTGCCCGATTCCCCCAGTTTTTCATTTTGTTATTTTCCTTCCCTTTTAAGAGGTGCGAGTTAGTTCAAGTAGAAGGCTTAAAAAGTACAAGAGATAGGTCCAAAAAAACATGGTTGGAAGTAGAGAAAAGATATGGTGACTGATGGCCTCACTGAGGGTATGACCCTTAATAGAGCAGAATAGTAAACCAAGATTCGTGTAGTCAACCCCAATTAGTTGGAAAAAAGCTCTGATAATGATGATGTTTTTTCTTCCTTTTATATCCATACACTGGTGCAAATCAGGAAATGCACAATTAGAAGCATATTAATTGGAATCAGTCCCCTCGCGATCCAAAGTCCAATTCTACATCTTTAAAAACATGGAACAGGGCAAAGGGCAAGTCCTAGTTAGCTCCCCAAGTTTAGAGTTGAACCAGCCAAGACTTGGACAAAACTCACTGATTTTTTAAAGACCCAGATATACTCAGTCAAAACTTAGTAAGACTAGATCAAGACTCGGATCATCCAAGCCAGGGTCATCTGGAAAGTGACTAAGGCGATTCCAAGTTGGACTTTCCGAGTTTCTAAACATTGATGATGTCTAAATCTCACCTCAGATATGCTCCATGAAAGAAAAGTGATGAAAACTGAAGGCATCTCCTGAACCTGCACATGAAAATTCAAGATATATATGAGGTGGCAACAACAACACAGTTCCAGTTCCACCAACACAAAAAGGTTCAAAGCATAAAAGTAAATAATCTATCTATAATTGGCTCTTTAGCCTATCAAAAGAATAAGGTAGAAAAGAGGGACTGATAGACATAAAACTTTTAGAATAGTCATCTCCAATTCAGAGCAACATCAATGGAAGTAGTATTGGATGTACCAGGCTTCACCAACCAATCAGTGAAACTAGTAAATGCTCACGATTTTGACCACCATATGGGCATCCAAAGGAGCATCAAGTTACAAATACCATGAGTAATGCCTCAGCCTCCATAGGGGCCGTCACTTGGTGTGACGGTAAAAGACTCGAGCAGCCAGCGCAAGAGCATGGGTTTGAGTCCTGAGAGCGGCCACTTTGTGCATAAGCCAAAGGTTAGAACCGTTTCCAGCCCACCCCTCCCGGGAGCCTGCTTAGGCAGCACAACCGGGTTACGTCCCTTTACTGCCACAAATGTGGGTTTTTGGGAAGTAAAGCCTCCATGCAAGTGGAATTTCACATGCAAATATCAACCTGGTGCCTAGATAATATTTGAATGGTACTTTCTGCCATGAATCCCAAGTACTACTTGGTGGATTGTGTGGAATAAAGAAATCCTTGAGTAAACATACATATAAAATCTTTAGGAATTGACAGGATATATTCGGTCTTCAAAAGCATTTATTCATGCTTTCATATGCTGCATTCTCGAGTAAAAGTTGGTGGCATTTCATTTCATAGTTCTTCATGTGCTACTCTAGAGATTTTTCTCACTTTTCTTGTCATATGCATGTTCTAGTAATTTAGTAATGAGCCATTTAGTAATGAACCATACGAATCAACTATTAACTAATGGGCAATAGGAACTAATTAGTAGGTTAAGTTGTTATCTGTACCATGGTTCTCAGCTCCCTACCACAAATTCAAAGCTTTAGTAAGAGTACTAACAGATAAAAGGTTCAGTACAAAGTGTTGCCACTAGTCTGACGCAAAGATAATGGCAAGGAAGTTTTGGCAATGCCAAAGCCAGTGAAGAGGAGATGGGGGTCCATCCTTATGTTGGGGATAAATCCTTATGTTTGACACAACCAGGATTAAAAGAACTTGCAACTGAGAACAAAAAAAAAAAGGGTCACAGCAATCACCTACCAATAGAAATTGGATCGATGTTCTAGGAAGTATATGGGCATAGAAGGTATAAAATGTTGAGATTTGCACCAGAATAACAAATGAAGCCTTTTGAATGAAAGAATACTCTCAAGTGTTCTTGTAAAAACAGAATGAATTCACCTGTGTCATGCTACTCAACGTGCATGCCATATCACAGTTAAACCAACATGTGTCCCTAGTTTATTGCATGTCATTGAGTTTGCATTCACATCAAACTTGTATTTCATTTTTCATGAATGAGAGGAAGTCCATTTCCATGGAACTCAAGTGACTGTAGTTGTTAAACACCCTGGTTGAAAATAGAGTTGCTTTGATACTGCATTGAGACTTGATAGATCAAGAACAATAGGAATTTGCCATCTCCACAATAAGAGTTGCTTTGATACTGCATTGAGACTTGATAGATCAAGAATGATAGGAATTTGCCATCTCCGCAACACCTCTATTATTTTTAAATAAATAACAAAAAAATGCATATCGCCCTTATGGAGAAAGAATGAAGCATTTGAAATGCAAATATCACTGCTAAACAATTTTTAACGATGATTTATTCCTGTTGTAACTATTAATTGTACACTATATATTTAATGAGAAATTATAATAGAAAATACCCTCACAAGGAACTAATTATGTACGAAATACAAGTTGAATACAAAATCATGCTTGCCTCTCACAAGACAATAACCATGGAGTGCCAGTGTGCACAATCACAAGAAGTACTTTCTATTTCTTTCACGAATTTATCAGTCTGTTTCTTGTAAAGATACTCTCAACAATATCATTTAGAATAAAAATAAATAAAAAGTTTGATGTACACAACAATATTTGGCAACAGTGTTATGGGATTCGCCCAAGTCCACTCAAACTCAGGTGAGTATGGGCAAGGCTGAGTTACTCTGAGTTGTGTGTACAACTCAGAGTACATTAAAAACAAAACAAAAAAGTAAAAAAAAACAAAGGAAATCCAAATAATTGTAAAAAAAAAAAAAATGGGACTTTCCTATGGATTTTTATATATAATTTGGATGTTTTCAGCAAAGATTGGTGAGTTTTTTTTTCTGTTTTGGCATAGTCCCTATTTTTCTATTTTCTTTTTAAAATGTCTCCAACAATAAATCATTTTTTTAAAAATCCATTTTTTCCGTACTTTTTTTAGCCATTTGAAGTTTTTAAGGTTGTTTCTGGTTCGAAATTAACATTTAGTTTTATTAGTTTCATTTTAATTTTCTTCAAAAAAAGTTTCTAATTTTTAATTTATCTAGTGTTTTGGCCATGTATAGGACTCCAGCTGACTAACTCGCCCGGGGCTAAAGGCCAAGTCTCTTTGCCAAGGCGAGTTCCAAATCATTGTTCGACAAAACGGAATAAGTATAAAAAATGGAACTCACGAACCAAGAATTCATACAATCATCGTAAAAAATTGTATCAATGCAAACCTCGTCTATTTGGCGAACAACAGCTAGAAGGAAATGAGTCCTCCCACCCCATTGCATGAGAATAGGAAGCACTCCACTAGGAACCAGACCTGAAAAAAACCAACATAAGCACAACATTTCTCATCAAACAACCCTTCATGTATAAACCAACAACAAGCCAATATATATTAATCAGAAAAAGAAACAAATTACCTAGAGCAGAATGCAAGACTTCCAAAAAGGAACCAACTTGCAGCCAACCTTGAACAGGAAAGAAAGAGCAACTAAATTAAAACAAAACAGAGGTTAACTATATCAACACCCAAGATGAAAGAGACGACAAATGAAATTTCGCCAAGAAAACCGATGAATCTTTGGGAATGTTTTCATGTATTCGCATTTGATGTAATATTGCAATGTCGTTGAAGAATACAAACTCGTGCAAATAAACATAAAAGGATGATAGCTGCATGCAAAATTGAAGGAACATATTTCGAAATAACACGAAATCATGCCACAGAAGACCCAGCAATTTAGTAATAGGTGGTTTTGGGTACCTGATAAATTTCATTAAAAATCATATTCTAGAAATATATTAACATGTGAAAAATTAATTGAAATTTATCAAGAAAAACTTCATTAAAATGTAGGGAGAGCTTACTGATAAGATCACCGTAAGAGTTGTAAGCTCTATTCAAAGAATTCGTCGCGGAAAATGTGGCCAAAAGCCTAGAAAGCCCCACTGCCCTGCCATCAAAGAAGAAGGATATGCATAAGAGAACACGAGGATTAGAAAAGCTTGAGAAGGGAACAATGAATGTTGCAGAGAAGGGTAGAATAGTAATTATACCACCCAAAGGCGTGAAAGGAGTTGTATGCCAATAAATAAAACTTGGCCGCCATTGGAGGGATGCGAACGTGGTCTCTCAGTCTCACTGTCATATTTGCTCTCTCAGTCTCACCGTGATATTTGCACAACTTTTGAGTGGAGGATAATTATTTGATAGATGGGGCTTCCACATCAGCCGATACATGCACGGCCCACTTATTACCTTGTCTTATCAAGTTTGAAATACGAAAGTTTCTACTCAAATTTGAAACTCAATAAATCGTACTAGATCTTTCAACCGTGAGGCCTATTGGGTGTCGGGAAATATATTTCGTCACAATAAATTACAAGAAAATATGGTATTTATATTATTTGGGTGTATTTGAATAGTAAGAAAGTAGAAATATATTGTTTAAGATTTCTCATATTCTCGTTTTAAAAAATATTTTTATGGAATGTAAAAAAGCAAATCTAAATTGATTTAAAGAGTGACCATTTTCTACTGCAATCATAATAAAAAAATTTTATATTCCTTTATCCAAATTTAGGTTGTAGCCCTCATCTGACTCTCTTATAAAAACAAAAAACAAAATTTTTTAATGATTGGTAAGTGAAAGTAAAGAGAAATCTAAATTGATTTAAACCGTTGTAGAACCTGATGAGGGATAATTTTCTACTTTCAATCATAATATAAAAAACTTCTACATCCTTCTATCCCCAATTTGGGTTGTAACGCGCCATCAGCTCTCATATAAAATCATAAATAATAAAAATAATAATCAATAATCGATGAGAAATTACACAACACAATCATAATAAAAACATTTACACAACATAATCATCATGAGATATTAGTAAAAGCTCAATTGAAATAAAATACATCTTTAGTCTCCTCCAATGTTTCAAAATTTTCTATTGTAATTACCAAACCTTTTAGTTACTAATAAAACTTCTTCTCATTTTTTAACTTCTACCACAAAGATTTTGACTTTGGTATCATAAATGTATTTCTCATTTGAAATTATATATAGATAAACATTTGAAAGACTTTTATAAAAAATAAATAAAAATAAGGCTTATCATAATAAAATCATGTTATTCCAATCATATTATTCCAATGACTTATCATGTTGAAACCAAAGTCTAATCACGTTAGTCAAACATATCTATATTTTCATATTTGGATGGTAATACATTTCTCACATTTCTTTTAGACATTCTAGACATAGCCAAACAGTAGCAATGTATTTCCCAAGTTGCATCTAAATACTACCTAACAGTGACAATCCATTTGCAGGTAATGTATTACGCCCGTAATATATTTCAATGACAATATATTTTCAAGTATCCAAACAGCCCCTTAATTTTGGATATGGTTTCTATGAGGCCAGCCTGCATATTGTAGAAATATGGGCTTGACAATAAACATATTTTTTAAACATACTTTGATCTTAATTTTTGGAGAATATATAATTTTTAACATGGAGATCATGAATATGAAAAAGAAAATTGAAAACTAAAAATAATAATTATATTAAAAAAACATTTGGAATGTTAGTTACACTTGTTTTTAGATAGACCAGCTATTTGCATCCATCTTTAAGATGGATGCTTTATGCCTTTGGACCGCATATGGTAGAAATGCGGTCCAGCCCCACATGAAACAATTTTCTTTTATTTTTAGGGTGAAATGGATGGTTTAGATAATTTGAAATCTTGAAAATTGACGGTCCAAAAATGCATTACAAAATACACTATTTCCAAAACTTAAAATCCATTTTTTTCTCATGTCCATGCATCTTGATATCGAAATAATCAATTTGAGTATATTTGGTCATCAAAACAACCTATTTTAGTGAAATTTTTTAGGTAGGCTTTAATTTGATTGTTTAGAGCTTCGGCTCTATATAAACTTTTCCCTTTGTTAAAATATACACTATTTTTTAGAGTTCACGATCGTAATTATCTTTCACAACCATAATGTTCAAGTTGAGATGATCGATTTAAATGTTTTCCAATGCTTGAATTACAACTTTTGAAGAGTTATTTGGTGAGGCTTTACTGATTTATTTTTTGAAAATAAATAGATGGATGGGGTTTCTAAGTCCGCTGACACATACGCGGGCACAACTTATATATCTCAAAATAGGCTTTTAATCTAAATTTTTAATGATTCATTATTTAGGTTCAAATGATTATAAAAATTATAAAATTATAAAAAATTTAATATTTTAAATGTGGTTTTAAAAAAAAATCTAAACCATTTGAATTTATTTTAGCCCGGTGGGGTTTTTACAATATCCATTTTTGATATGAATGTTGGCTCTTGCACCCACTAACTCATGAATAACTTTTTTTTTAATACATATCACTACAACCTTCCGTTACAATACTAAGAGAGATCTCATAGCTTTACTAATGCAGCCACAGTTGGCTAGGATATGACCATTATATTTTAATCCTACCCCTCCATCTATTGATGATAAGGATGGGATAAATTGACAAGAATGTCATAAACACTTGTGCTTGTCAGATTTCGAATTGGATGGTTATAAGAGAATTATCAACTAGACTCAAAGTTTCAAAAAAAAAATTGTCGAACTTTATGACACATCACAAGCCATCCAATTTGACATCTAATGACTAGAAAAAGATATGGGCGTCATTTCAATCTTACCCCTCCATCATGAGCTGAAAACAGTGGCTTAAAATACAGATCGGTGCTCCGGATTGAGCACCCTAGAAACCCATCCGGATCGGTGAATCGGCGATCCAGATCGAGAGTTGGCCGGTCGGATTAAGCCTTAAAAAAATCCAAAAAACTATTAAAATTCATTATAAATTTTGTTTTTTAAATATTCAATAAAAAATGGGGATACTACATTATTAACTTTCATTTTATTTTATCAATATGCGAATATTAAGATGTTCGCTCCCTATCGTCAAATATTTATTAAAATCTAACTAAAGACAATATTATATATTGAAATTATAATTATTGGTATATATTTTATTATGGAAAAAGTTTATATACAGTTGCAACCTTAAAATGTAGAATTACATATCCACCTAAAAAATCCATTGGAAAAGGATGTTTTATTATTCAAAACCCTCTAATTGATCACCTCGATATCAAGATATATGGATATGAAAAAAAAAGTGTTTGAGTCCCTAAAATACTACATCATGCAACACATGATCTAGACCGTCTATTTTCATGATTTTCCTATGTTTATAGATCTACTTGATTTTAATCATTTTTTTGAGTTTAAAACTTTATAATAAAATATGAAAATAGATTTTAACATAATCTTAATAATTTTTTATACCAAAATTATATGTTGTGATAAAATTTAGAGGTTCACCTTAATTGTATTGTTTAAAGTTGCAACCTTATAGAAACCACACCCTTTATTTTATCATCATTTTACTATACAAATAAAAATAAATTTGAAATTTGTCTTATAATATCATCTAATTTAAAAATCTAAAAATTTAAACAAGAAATTAGCAGAATCAAACAAATCAACAAATTTAATCTCAAAATATTTTTAAAAAAAAATCATTATGAATATTTAAAAATAGTGTTCTTTTAATTTCTAAAAGAAATTAGAAGTGACGCATTATGTATTCTCATTACTTCGTAAAAATAGATGAATATTGTGACACTGTTTTCCTGTCTGGATGTCTGTATAATTATTAATTATAATATTATAATAAACATGATTTCAAAATTATTAGAAAATGATTCTATTTCATTTCTTTTTTTGGTAAGTAATTCCATTTCGTAGGATTAAAAAAAAAATAGAACCTCCTATAAATTTTAATATTATGATATTAAAACAAAAACAATTACCCTAAAACAATAGAAAAAATAAAGATAATAAAATAAAAAAGTTGCTTGTTCATGGCTCGACATTGCCACAATCCAATCATGGTTATTCCTTTGACAAAAAAAAAATGACATCAAGTAGAAGAACTAGCTAGAGAAAAAATGGCATAAGTCTTCCATCGCACTTGAAAAGCAAGCAGGAATAGTCCCACATCCAATGATTAATGACTGAAATAGCCATATAAAACTTGATTTGTTAGCCAATAAAGAAATTGTTGTGCTCATTAAGGTGGCAGCTTGTAGGTACTAGGTGCTTGTGGTAGATGTGGAAAAAAATTCATATTAAAATAATGTAGACATTGGCTCATTATGGTGGTGGTTTGTAAGGGTACAAGGTACTTGCAGAGATGTGGAAGAAAAATTCATATTAAAATAATGTAAACATTGGTGGTGGTTTGTAGGGTACTAGGTACTTATAGAGATGTAGAAGAAAAATTCATTGGCTCATTATGGTGGTGGTTCCTAGGGTACTAGGAGGTATTGGTCGATGTGGAAGAAAATTCATATTAAAATAAGGTAAACATTGATACATTATGGTGGTGGTTCCTATAGGGTACTAGAAGGTACTGGTCGATGTGGAAGAAAATTCATATTAAAATAAAGTAAACATTGGCACATTATGGTGGTGGTTCCTAGGGTATTAGAAATTATTGGTCAATGTGGAAGAAAATTCATATTAAAATGAAGTAAACATTGCTGGCATTATGGTGGTGGTTTGTAGGTATTAGGTACTTGTGGTAGAAACGTGCGACAAATTTACATTTTATATTATAAATATAAAATATAATATTTATTATATTATATTACATCTCATTGTTGAGGGTTTTGACAAGACTTGGCTACCACTGGCTTTGCTCGTTGGTTACCGTTTGAATCTTAAGTAGGGGGGGGCAAGGCAAGGAGGAGCACGTAGGAATGCCGACCACTACATAAGCCACTAGTGGCTGAGAAAAAGTGAGCTTCAGCGAGCAGCGAGTGGAATCTCTTACTTCGGAAAGATTGAGCAGTATTCAATTATGATGACCTAGTCGAGAGAGTACGATACATCGAAGTAAAAGATTGAGTGGGATTAGTGAGGTTGGTTATAGCAAGGGCTGGCCTGAAGTGCGTGGCTTACGAAAAGGTAAGCGGTTAGGTTGACTCTGTCCCCATTTTTTGCTTCTTATGAATCTGCCCATTTTGATTCTCCGCAGAATTTCTGTTTCGCAGCCACTAAGGTTCCTTTCGGTCCTCTTCCCCATGGGTC